AAGACAGTGGTATCAACGCAGAGTACTCAGATTTTACATGTGTACGGTCGATATACATCTTTGGAAAAAAATAATCAAAAAAATAAAGCTCGCCTACATACCATGCAATGTGCTGTTCTGAAGCGTGATATTATCAAAGAAAAGCTGAATCCAGACTCCATTGGCGAAATGTTGAATTATGCCACTAGCAACCAAAGATTTCAACCAACACAATCAGAATAAGCTGTGCAGAAAATGAGCGCATATCATAATAGTTTCACAGTTTCATTGACATGCAAAATTTACATGCCATCTCCTTTTCTTCGCAACCATAGGCATATTCGCTTACTATTCGATTGAAAGTTTTGTTGAGAGTGTCGAATGAGACTTCATATAATCTACATATAAGGTCGGTGCAAAAGTCTTTTCCGTTTTTTTCTTAACAAATCGCAAATCCCGCAGAGTGAAGATAAACGGGTACAGCAGTCAAAGGCTACTGCGGGACGAAGGCACAGAAGCGTATTAGTTTAGTGGGCGCGAACTCGGCGCGCGCATATCGTCACCGTTATAAGCCCTGTGACTCATGAGCTCTGAGGCTAATAAAACCGCGTTCGCGCCCTAAGGTATTGTGCCTTCTTCATGCAGCAGCCTATATGTTTTCGATGCGACAGTTTCGACGAGTCTAAGACCATGTCTACTTTCGCTATCGGACAGAACTTATGCAGCAAACTCAAACACACTTCAGGTACCTTCCAAGCATCTTTCTCTCCTCTTTGTGGCAGCTGTCTTTTGCGAACCATGCGGCTTTTGCAAACAAAATCGGCGTACTTCTCAGTTTCACGGGTGCTCACGGTTGTACCCGAAATTTCAAAATCTGCGCATTTTCAGGCGGTAATCGTCACTAATTTTGTAATGTTAGTGATAGTAACAATTGAGATTCGAAACTTTAATTTTCTGACGTTTTTTTAGTGTTGTATGGTTTTTTTTTTGGACTCAAGGCTGTTGTAAATGCATTCAGCGAAATAATGGAAAGGAAGCTGGAAAGTGCACAAAATTGTTATTTGTAGGAGTTTGTTCCATCAAGGGTCATCGATGCGCTTCCGAAAGTCTATTTGTGAATCCTGAAAGTTACCGAAACTGAGAAATTGGAAAAATGAAAGGTTGTAAGCTTTGGCAATTATCTCAGCGCTCGTCGAAACAGTGCATCGGAGACACATAGTTATTAGAAAGAGGATGTGCATCGGATACTGCCTGAAGTATTTGCTTACACTCACCTTATGAGATTTGCGGGATGTTTCAAAGAAAAGGGCTTTTGTACCGACCATTGATCAGGTCTCTTCCTTCAGAAAATTTATGTCATTCCTCCGCCTTCTTCACTTCTCCCTTCTATTCTATTCTCTTTTACTCGTTAGGCATGTTAGCTTAGAGGACTGTTTTTGATGTATTGTTTTTGATTATAGTGCACAACGGAAATTATTAGGTTGTCCCGAAAGTTTTGTCGGTTTCTTCAAACGGCTATTAACACATTGACGACTGCTTGACACACATGGTGTGTCAAGCAATGACTACCGCGTGGGACCGCTTGACACACCGTGTGTGTCTAGGCTTGAATTTTGGTTAAATGACTACTATCCTGGAATGAACTCACTCCGTGAGCTTTCTTTTGCACAGAATCTAATGATGACTTCTACCTTTTTTGTCAACCTTTCAGATCTACTGTAGGTGTACTGTAGATAGCAGTAAGCGTGATTATAGTTGAAAAAGTGGGCTGGTCCGTAAGAAGGCCTTAGTCCCAAAAGGCAGACAGCTAAAAATCTGCATGGTAGTCAATGTGTTAAACACGTACAACAAAGTCCTGAATGAGTTTCGAAATGTATTCAATGCAGCTTTTCCTTCTCTTTCTTATGGTTGCATTTTCGAACCAGAATCCTCTATGCTTTTTTGATTCCCAAAATATTTCACCCGTCATTCTGCTCAAAGTTCGGCTAATTTTTGACAATCTCATATCAAAATGTTGTGAAAGGATCAAGTATGGCACAAATAGAGCAAATTTTGGACTATGCGACAATGTTTTTGGATTCTCCTGATCTGCTGTTTTTGACTTCAAAAATTACTTCTTCGGAAGTCAAGAGATTTTCCGTAAAGCCATGAAACACGCAACTACAGCAAACACATGGAGGCGTTCAAAGTTTGAGACTTGATTGTTAATACTTATTATTTGTGCAGCATAACTCAGTTTGATTTGCTTTGAAAAATCAGCTTTCTGGAAGTTCCGGTAAACTTGTATGCTAAACGCGATAAAAAGCCGCGGTTTTTCCCCAATAAATAATTATTACAGACTTGATAGGCGTGATTCATGCAAACTGAAATAGGTGTAGCGTAGTCAAAGGTTTGCTCTACATAACAGCTGCCAGCTCTCTTTGAAAGCATTAGGATAAGATTTTTCAAAATTCAGGGAAGTTTTGGCATTATTGCTAAGCTGCTCGAAAAGCCATGGCGAGAACATCGCAAAGACAGCATAGACCACAGAGCAAATACAGCCAAAAGGGCAATGTCCAGGCAAATCTGGGCGCATGGGTTTTTCGCCTGGAAACTGATGAGGTGGTCCTAACTAAGGCATTGCCCAAGGGGCAGCGCAAATTGTTCATTCACGGCTGAGAAATCCGTTTTCGAAAACACCGCGCCTGCGCCGTGACCGTCGTCCGACAACGACTTCGCTAACTTTTGCACTACGTTCGCGCTGGGACCCATCCTAAGTGTTACGGTCACGGCGCAGCCGGATCTTTCGGGGATGGATTTCTCAGCCTTGACTGAATTATTTGCGCTACCGTTTGGGCAGTGCCTTAGCTAGAACCTCTTCATCAGTTTCTAGGCAAAAAACCCATATGCCCAGATTTGCCTGGAAATGCCTATAGGAAAGAGGATAAAAATTTGAATCGAATGGTACCTAACAAGGGAATGGTCAGTAGTCGAAGTGGCCAATCCATACAAGCTGCATACCATTCGATGCAGCATAGAAAGCTGATTTCAAATCTGTCTTCCGTATCTGCAGAGCGCCTTTGTGGACCCTGCGAAAAAATTGTACACAAAAATTGCCAAATTAAGCACATTATTGCTCTTTCAGCTCACCTCTAGGCATGGGTCATATGAAGTGACCTAGTTGCATGTTTTGACCCAACATTGAGCCGAGAATGGCTTTGTACGGCAGAGTTTGCACTTTACACGCACAATTTCCTAGCAAAATGATGGCCTTCAACGGCTTATAACTTCCTCCACAAAAGCGCTCTGCAGATAAGAAAGACAGATTTAGAATTAGCGTTTTATGCTGCATCCAATGGTATGCAGCTTGTACGTATTGGCCACTTCGACTTCTGACCATTCCCTTGTAAGACACTCATCGATTGGTTTTCTGTGAGTTTTGGTGATCGATGAAAAAATCGTTAAAACTTTTGGGACAGCCCAATATTTTGCTAGTAATTAGCTACCATACATACTCACGAAAATGACGATCGAGGTTATATGCATATCAGCTGTAACACCTCTGCAGTCGCGCTCGCGCTTACCCAAAGGTACGACCCATGCCATACTTGCTCCATTTGTCTGCTTCATCCAAAAAATAGATAAAGCGGATCAAGTGGACCGTATGGAGCGTGTGTGAAAATTAGTTGCCAATATCTTTTTATGCCCACATGGGCGAGCTCTAAAAAATGTTAGGCTTCGAACGCTCCTAGCTTGTCGCTGGGCGCAGTTAAGCGCACTCTCCTTCGGACGTAATCCCGCTTTCTAGTGTCGCTACCCATGACAAGTCTTGCACAGTAACAGATGAAGAACTGACCCAAAAATTCTCCAAAGAGTTTTGTCTCCCGAAGCTGTGCACTGTCTGTCATGTATTGTGTAATAGTTATACAGTGTTTCTGTAATATGCTCATCGTCGAATAAAAGTTCACATATCTGATGCAAATATGCTGAGAATCAGTGGATTGATGAAAGTTTACCTCACGAGAATCTGAAAGACGGCGCGAAGTATGCATTTAAAAAGCCGATTTGATAGGTTGCGCAAAACAGTGATGATTTTGTGGTTAGACTGGGAAGTAGAAGCATACACAACATAGTTTTGCGTGGGCTCGGCACAGCTGTGCACGCGACAAGCAAAAGCTTTCTATCCTTGACGATTGCTTGTTACTCGTAGGATCGTCAGTTTTTGGAAGAGGGGCATAGCGATGGATTTGTTTCTCAAAATGCTATCCATAAGAAGTTTCCTCACTCATCTATAAATACCCGTTGCAGAGTTTCATTACGGCCTTCGAAAATCCCGGCGGCAGCACTACTAGTGATGATATGCCGCTCGCGAGTGGGGATGCACAGTATGTTTTAATTCAAATTTTTTTATCCCTTTTTCACCGAAACAATTTTAGGAGCGAACCCAGACGCCTTAGATCACCTTATACACGTCCTTACCCAGAATTCAAGAAGAACGGTGAGTGATTATCACCTCAAATCTAATATAGAAAGAATCGTAAGCGCAATTCAAAAATGTGCACATAGCGGGAAACCGCGCGGTGGTCTCGTAGCGAGCGCGTGCACATCTAGCACCTTTAAGATGAAAGGCATGCATGTGTCTCTAAGCACGACATCTTCTTTTTCTTTTCAATGAATCATTGTGTTTTTGTTTTCTCCAAAGTTTCCTTGTAGTTTTTTAGTTATAGAACTTGTAATTTTGCACCTTTTCATTGATGAGCAGACACTATACCTTGGTGAATTCTCTCTGATGATGTCTAACTGCTCTGCTCGCTCCCTCCAACTTAGCACTGTCCCAAATGATTCACTTCGAGATTTGAGATTATGAACGAGGTAGATTCATGGGTAACTGTCCCTTTTATCTTCGCACTAGGTAGATTCGAGATTATTGTCATTCTCATCTTCGCATTTGCGACTGCACACTCGGCATAACCTATGATGTGTCTACCATAGAAGCGCAAACAACCTCGATTGGCTTACTCTTTCTCTATTTACTAACCTTTCGTGCTAAATAAACTCGTTATGTGCACCGAAAAATGTCGGTTTTCCATACTTGTTTTGCTTTGGAGCTATGCCAGTTACAATGGAAGCCCAGCCAGCGCTGAGTGTGCAGACACATTATGTGAAGTTATAATGTCCCGACTGTAGGGAATCTCTCATATTTCGACAAAACCAGGGAAAAGCGCTCTAAAACGCCGGCAGACGCAGAAAGCTACTAAAACGGAGTTTTAGCACATCTGCATAACATGTCGTTCTGGTCAAGCTTCATGTCTCTACTGAAGTATGACCATATTTACCTATCAACGCGAGCAGCAGGCAAGTTCGATATCTGAAATCACAGCCTATCTCGATTTACAGTGGATATCTCGAACTACGGGGAAAATAGCTTACCTGCACAGAGGAGGTTTACTTCGATGACGCATTGTAATTCATAACGTTATTCGTCTTGGAGTCTCAAGAGAAATGGACTTTATTCTCTCAAGTACCAAGCTCTGCCGAACTTAAGTTTTGAAACTCATGCTCCAGTGTTGAGATTTGCCAATAATGCGTTCTTGCGATTTTAAGCGCTTTTCAAGCTCTTTCCGGCGAAATGTGACCTGTTTTGAATTATTTATTATATTGCCAGATAAAGGTGCAATAGCAATAAGTTAAGCGGGCGCAAACATGGCCCGTGCAGCTGCATTGTTTAAACCCTACGCATTATGCGCCCTCCTGCTAAGCTTAGTTCGTTCACGCCTCAGGGTCTTGAGTACGGCAGTAAACCTTCAACTGCTAGTGATAACAGTAGTTTATCCTTTGCCTATGTATATACATTTTTCGTAAAGTGATCAAATGCAGCACGATCTCTTTCAAAGAGAGTTGAAAGGTCTATGGGTCACATCGCCCATGGCGGCAGCTTTGCCGCGCGCGCAGCGCCCGATTTTGTAGCCCACAGAAATTCTCCGAACCTCAAGTGGCGTGGCGACGAGGTAGGGGGGGGGGGGGGACAGCAGATACAGGGCTTTACAACCTGAGTGTCCCACCCGCCCCGCTAGGACGCCACGCTTAGGTCCGCGCAGCGTTCGTGGCGCTGGCTGCGCGTCGACTGAAGCTTGGCGAAATCCGGGCGATACGCAGCAAACGCCGCGCGCGGCCTGAGCGAGGCGGTCGCGTTGGAGGAGCCGCGCAAGCGAAACTTGCGACTCTCAGGTTGAAAAGCCCTGTACATTACGCGATGCCATAAGTAACGTGCCAGGAGTACTTGCTCATTTCTGTACTGCTTGACATCACGCTGCGGCATCACTTCGCAGATGGTGACTCCTGACCCGGCATCACTTCTGAGATGGACGCCCGCAGAAGTAAACCAGCACAAAAGCCAGCTCCTGTCGCCACTCTTGTCGCGATGTTACTTATGGCCTCGAGTCATGTATCTACCGCCACTCCCCCCCCCCCCCTCCTTACTGTGCCGCCGCGCCACTTTGCACCGAAGAGTTCCCTTCGGCTACAAAATTCGGGAGCGGCGAAGCCTCTGTCGTGTGTGGTGTGACTCCTCACCCGCAGCCTACACCCATTTCGTTCCCATTCACTATAGCTAGGACTTGCGACGCGCTCCGCGGTTAACAAGTCGTTGGAGTTCGCCATTGCCAGATCTCCCGGCAGCAAACCCAGGGAGGGAAAAGAGCCCAAACAGCAACAGCTGAGGGAGTGAAAGCTATGGAGGCTTTGACCCAAACGTTGTGGGCAAGGAGAAGATGTGGGCACCGTTTTGAGCTTCCACCCAGGGAGTACGGAGGGAAGTTTGGGCACAGTGGCTAGAAAATCCTAAGAGTCTGAGTTCTATGAGAACTCTGAGAAAATGGCACGAGAAAGTGACAAAAGACGCCTTCGCACCGCGGCAGCAGTCCAAGCCTCGCCAGCAACCACTTTTGGGCGCTTTCAGTGAAAATGTAGTATTCTAAGAAAGGTGTGGAGTGGCGTAAGTTAGCAAAGACGAAGGGCATCTTAGAAGTCTTAGAAGTTAGGAGGCACTATGTATAGGAATTTGGGCATTCTGGCGCGAAAAATCTTTATAGGGCGGAGCTGGTTGTTCCAAAAAAGCTGAGGAAAAAGAAAGCGATTACTTCAGTTGGTTAGCCGTGAGAAAAGGAAAAAGCAGGTCTCACGGCTGTTAAAGGACTTTGGATGTAAGCTCTGATATGTATGCGAAAGAAGGCTTTCCTTCTCGAAACTTGAGGAAATAGAGACGGGAAAAAGAAGAAGAATTGACAACGTGGGAACTCAAGACATCTCGGCTACGAGATTCTTGGGGCGACAATTGTGGGCATGCTAGGTACTTCCGCGGAGGAAATTTTACTTGGCAAAAGGGTTTCGGGCGGAACATGGAGTCAGGCTGAGTTTTAGGCACTTTCTTCGCGTGTCATCAGCACCCCAGCCACGAAAGTTTCCTAGGAGAAAACTCCATCTGCTGGCGTTATGGCGAGAGAATCCTCGAAGGGTTATGGGTTCTGGCATGGAATAGACGAGGAGGTTAGGCTAGAGACCCGTCATACTTCAGAAAGAAGCCCAAAAAAGCCGAAACGCCCTTCCGCTTTGACGCTAAGGCATGTGTGTTGACGTCGCAACTGATCCTTTTTGCTTTATTTTCTCTGCACATCAAAGTAATGTCAGAATTCTACCAAAAATTCGGTTTGTGTTTCCTCTCTTTTGGGTTTTTTTCCGGCTTTTCGGGCTTCTTGAACTTTTCCGGGCTTTTTTGGGTTTCTTTGGGCGCTTTTGGGCTTCTCTCGGCGAAGTATCACGGATTCCTTAGTCTCAAGCAAGGGAGAAAGAGTAAATTCTGCGGAAGTTTGTTGGACTTTTACAGTCTGCTCCAATCCCAGTCAGGTAAAATTGGCATGGCAGAAGTCCGCTTCGCTAGGCTTTTGCGTCACGTTTACGGTCTGCTTGCCTGCTCTCTCACCGATCTCTTCGCTCTCTCCGATGGTGCGCATATGTCGCGCACAGTACTGGCGGTACGTGCGCGGAAATCTTGCACATGGTTCAGCCTGATCCCGATTGGGGCACACTATATTAAGGAATAATGTTAAGGTCCTCACATGACTTGGACAACTGACCTAAAAACAAGCTATGGGAACGTCAGCAGGGAGGAAGAAATAGTGGGCACCGAGGTTATTTAGGACATTTACCTTAAAGAAATTTTGATTTTGGCGAAGAAAATTGTGGACACGCTGGCGAAAGTCAACGATTTCCTTTGATATGGAGACGAAATAAGCATCATTGAACTCTGGCTCCTATCTAGAACTTTCAAGGAAAGAAATTTGAGCACCATGACCAAAGAAGGACTTTGTAGCTTTGTCATGAGAACCTAGAGGAACGGGACAGCGACGGCCAAAGAATGGGCACTATGGGATCTAGGGCACTCAATCAAAGGAGTTCCGTAGGAGGAAACTTGGACGCTTGAGCCGGAAATCCAGCAGAAGGGACTTTGAGGCTGCGTTAGGTAAGAACGGGAGGGGGGGGGAGAGGCAGAGGTAGAGTCCTCTGACCAAATCAGCACAGCGAATGGAGACTCACAGCTGTGCGCGCACAGTGGAGTTGGAGCCCCCCTGCCTGAGAAAGGGGAGGAAACTTTGGGCATAATAGAATAACTTCGTGACAGAGATTGTGGCTTGTACAGCTTTTAGCTTAACCACTGAGAAGCGGAAGCCACTGGGTTTGTTGATGAATACGGTCATAGGTGGAAGAAACTTTGGGCATTCTGATCAGTAAAGGAATCGGGGAATGAGTTTTGGTGTTTTCGTATGCAGTGACTAAAGCTACTACGGGCAGGGAGAAGGAACAGTCAGCATGAAACTCTCTCGTTTGAAAAAGTTCCAAGGGAGGAAACTTGGGGAACTTTGGGCACTGTGGCCTATAAAAAGAATCAGAAAGTTGTTGGCGCTTTCGCTGCATTGGCTACACAAAAATGGGCACCGCGGAACTCAGCGTGGAGCTGCCATTTGAGAAGTTTTGGAGCAGAAAACTTCAGGTATTATCGGCTCACAGATCGTATAGAGGCAGAGTTCTGCCAACCAACTCAAAGCGTCGTGCTTTTTGACAGGGAGTACGAAGAACAATGCTATAACATGGAGTTAAACAAGTTTAGCTTCATAACCAGGGAATCCGCAACCCGCCTCTATACGAATCTGGGAGCCGATCATACCATGACCGGGAAACGAGTCTGGGTTCCATCATGGGAACTCTGAGGCAACAAAATAGGGAGGGAGAAAGGGTGAGAATCGTGTGATCTAAGGGCCGCATGCATTAACATTCCAGCCGCGGAGGGGATAGTAGTAATTGAATAATAACTTAGTTGAAAGATTCATACACTGAAGCTACAGATATCTGGTTTTCACGCTGTCTATCTATCCAAGTATTCCCACATCCTTCGCTATGAAAATCGAAGAGGAGCGAGAAGCTGTACATGCTGCATATTCCAGCTTTTTGCATGATCCCTTATGATTCCCAGCGGACGACCGTCTTTTCCTCAAAGTCATTTTCTTTACTCGAAGTTAACAAAAACCTTTCGATGTTGTTCTGTTCGTCTTACCCAACAGTACTAAGCATTTTGTTGATAAGAACAAGTGGTGTTTTGGAATCATGAAGTTTGCATGAGCCACAAGTCAAAAGTTAGGGTTCATCGAAAAATCCAGTTTTTCAAAACTCATTTGTTCTTATTAGCAACATGTTTAGCACTGTTGTGTTAGATGTTCAGTACAACTTGGAAGGTTTTCGTTAATTTCGAAGAAAGTAATATGACTTTGAAGAAAAGACGGTCGGCCACCGGGGATCATCACGGGATCATACAAAAATTGAAAAATGTGGCTTGTACAGCTTCTTGCCCCCGTTATGTTCATAGTGAAGGATAAAAATTCCTACGGATAGGTTATAGGCGTAATGAAGCTTTCTCTTGAGCTGCAATCCCCTCCCCTTCGGGGATGTTAATGCATGCGACCCCAAGGGCCTACCTAGGAGGGAATCATAGAAGGATAAATCTGGGCACTTTGGCAATAGAAAATTTGGGGAGTAGATTTGCCTGCACTGTTTGTTTTTTAATCAAAGAGTGGAAGCGCATTCGCTGCAATAAGTAACGATAAGATGCAGACTGCAGACGGCGAATTTGATGCGCTCCTTGGCATGCAGCACTCAAGGTCGCGTGGTTCACTAGTTAGCATGAAGAGTGATAGGAGTTTTTGCACTATGCTCCCAGCAAACTCGTATATGTCAACTCAAAGTTATGAATTTGAGATATTTTTTCTTGTAGTTTACCTTTTTAAATATTCAACAATGTAGAGAACAGAACAAGAGCGCCTCACGCTGCAGCATTATACGAGCTCATCTCGCTGTCCATGTTGCTTTACTCGGTAAAAGTGCTCGTACATTGAAGCACATCGTGCAAAAAATTGTAATATGGTGCAAAAAAGTCTACCCGAAAAATTAAGGCATAATTCAAATTAGCTGGAATTTTTTTAATACCATGTAGGCAACTTTTTCAATGATCTTTGACCCTCCAGATAAATTGACATCCTTGTTATTACCGTACCAACATATGCTTACTTTTATCTGTCTGTCTATATGTACGTATGTATGCCGAATAGAATTATTTCTGAACCGAACCTGACCAGATTTGCAACACACTTCGGGGCGGGACAGGTGTCGTCGGTTACTTTTCGTTATCGATCGATATCGATTTTATCGATTTTTTTTGCAAAGCTTGAGCTACGGGGCTGGGAGTCGGCATAGGGGGGGGGGGGGGAGACTGAGCATGCTGATTAAGAATATCATTGGCAGAATAGAGCTGAGCCGGGTTTGCCAGCTAGTCATTATATTTTTCCAATAAGTTGCTCAAATTTGTTGAGACGAATTCTTCTACACTATCCTCTTTAGGCACCTCTGGCACGAAAGTTCAATTGAAGGCAAATTTTGCTCGAATCACCCAGATGCCCGACGTGTTTTGTACACAGTATCATGTAGAATTTGAGCCGACTGTAGCGTCCAGATCCTACCGGCATCAAATCCTTAAAGGGGAGGAAATGCAGTCATACATTGGCTCTGCATTCATATTTGATGGAATGATCATGTATACTGTGACCAGCGCCAACTTTGAAGTAAGTTGATTGAATTGTTTTCGTAAATTAGAAATTCCTGTCAGGGTGATTATGTATCAACGCATCCCCACACGGGCGAGAAGATTGTCGTGCGACTTCATAGAAGTGTGCGGTTTACGCAAGAGGATGCTCAGACTATTAATTGTTACAACATTGTCATACGAAAGTATGCATATATGTACGAAGGGTTCAGAAAAGAGAGGTGTTGTATCACTCGTTCAGTTGTCTTGATATGGTCGGCATGAAACGTTTGGGAAGAAATCATTTCGACGAAATGGAAAAGAGGCGTCTGGATCACTATGGAATGGAAGTTTGGCCGGGATTTGAGACAGCAGTGCGCCATTACGAAGATCAACTAATGCTCTGCATTGAAAATCGTTTCAAAATGATACGTACCGAATCCGTTTGGGAAATTGTGAGTTTGAAAGTCTGCTCTAATTCTTGAAAAAAAAATCTCGGCTTCATTATGCATGCTCAGATGTGCCGTGAAAGAAGCCGTCCCAACCAGGATTTAAATAGTTATGAAGTGACGTTGCAGAACTTGTTGTATGGAGAAACGGTCTTTGCTCGGTTAGTAATCATCATAAATTTTTGTCATGTCAAGGTTTGGAATGTACTAATATATTCACTTGAGAACCCAACAGCAATAAGACACTACCCATTGGTTTCAGCTACAACAACAGAATGTATCGCATTAACCATATTGACTACGAGATGACACCATACTCGGAATTTACACTTGCTGATGGAAATGTCACATCCTTGAAAGCCTACTTCGAGAAACAGTATAATCTTGTAATTCGCGAAGGCAATCAGCCAATTTTGGTAAGATACATACCGCTAATGTTTCGGCAAAGAAAAGTCGCCGAACTCCACGAGTTCGCCGAGATTTGCGTATTATCACATTCTTGCTTTAGCTTGAACGAATTCTGAATCCAGAAGCAGCTTTCATATTATCTTGAATGGGCGCACCCTCTCTCTAAAAAAATGTCTGTTTGTATGCTTTTTGAACATAATTATTTTTTTTCGATTTGGCTTCAAATTTTGCCTGAATTATGAATTAGGTGGACCTAAATTTGCGGAGGACGAAAATAGCTTGATCAGGGTCCGGCAGGAGGTGGCATTTCAGAATTTTGAAAACGATATCCCCTTTGAAGCCAAAATTTCTTACGACTTCCCCTTTGACCCTATTTTTGACACCCTTAAGTCCCTGACAAATAGATATACAAAAATAATAAGATGGGCGGCCTCAGCGCTTATTATAGTAGTACTACCTGGCTTTCCTGGTCCAGCCCGGGTCATCAAGATTTCAGCTCAATGGGTTCATCCGCAAAGGAATCTATAAAAGAACATAGGGTCAAGATTTGCACAAACTTCGACGTTTATATATCCAAGATACTACTCATTTATTAGTCAGCTGCGAAACTTTACAATTTACAATAACCGATTGCGATTGGAGCGCGCTTTCCAAGGCCGATCATAACGCTGTGAACCCTATTTGGGGCTGTATCGAAGCGGTGCCTTGGTGGTTTTGGAAGCGGATTTGAACATGTAGTACTACTCTCGACCTAGTCCACATTTATGTAAAGAAATCCGGGAAATAATGTGAAGGGAAGCAGGGAGCCACCCCAGGTGGCTCCCAGGTGGCGCGGGAGCCACCTAATTTCGAAAAACACTTACCATTTTTTAAATTCATATAAGTTTCTCATAATTCTCCATACTTTTTTTGTGCTCATGGTCCTCCGACTACACATCAAATTTGGTGCCATATCGTTACTTGTGCATTGAAAACGAGCCTATTTTGTTATTTTCCTCTTACAAGAATTGCGATTTGAATTCCCGCCTGAGGGCAGGCTAGCGATCGGGACACAGAATCTTCACATTGCTGGAATCTAAGTTCATAGGACAGTAGCATCAACAAGGAATGATGAATAAAGAATGATATGTGCATTGTTTATCGGTGAACAAAGGGGAAGTCGTATTTTGGGGTCCGGGGCTCCGCCCCGCACCCCAAAATACGACTTCCCCTTTGCTTTTTCGGGCCAAAAACGATATCCAGCTTGTGAAAGCGCCACCCCCGCCGGGCCCTGAGCTTGATTTATTTTAAGAATAAGTTTACTTTAACCTAATATTAGAAAACGAGCCTTTCTAAGTTGAATTCGTATTCGTCCTTTCTGAACCAAGAATACGACGATGCGACGCGATTCCCGGTGAACTCTGCAGAGTTCGGGGCTTTTTTGGTGAGTTATGAGCAAAATTCTGGCTGTATTCTACGCAAGTACGTACGGAACCAGGATCTTGTGTTTAAGAGTACTAGAAAGGGCTAGAAGTTGTTGACATCAACCCGATTCATACTTTACGAAAAGTGCTAAATTAACGCTTTGTAATGATGCTTCTATTGACTATGGTTCCCTGTCATATTCAACGCTTTTTATTGTTTTCATGTTCAGGTCAGCGAAGTCAAAGCCAAACTACCTGGTGAAGCGCCGATGGAAGTTTACCTGCTACCCGAACTTGTCTATCCTACAGGACTTACCACCGAAATGAGGCACGATTTTCGTTGTATGAAAGAGCTTTCCGCCTATACACGTTTGGATCCGGAAAGAAGAAGTGAGACAACGAAACGCCTGCTCGACAAGATCACTGGAAATGAGAGATGTGTTGCTCTCATGAGAACATGGGGGATTGTCCTTAACAACGATCTCGTCAGTTTTCATTCGAGAGAACTATCACCGGAAAGAGTGAGTGGTTGATGAGGTGAAGTTATGAAGCAATAACCTAGTGCTGTATCTCGTCATACGTGTAATGATCCATGAAAATTTCTGCTTTAGCATCTTTCAAGTTAGGCTATCTTATATTACATAAAGGGAAAATTCTAAGGCCATAGAAGATAATTTTGTTTAGAAACTGATTACGATGGTAGACGAGAGGTAGGGCAGTTCTACAGGGTACGCTTTAGTCCGAGAACATAGTACTCTCTGTGCGAAAAAAGGAAGTGAACGTATGTAGAAGCAAAGAATTTGATACATTTCAGCGAAATTGTGAAAATGCAATACTGCGTTTAAATTCTAAAGTAGTCACCTTGCTTTAACATAGGCCTCCGACCTCTTGACAGATGCATGGTCGTACCCTCATCTATGCTGCCGAATTGCTTCTATCCTTAATTGCGCAGCGTGATAGGAGCAAGTTTTCGGCTACAGTATGCTATCAAGAGAAATCCTTGGAAAGTTAGAAAATCGCAGCATGCGCACTCCGCATAGTGGAAATTATGGCTACAAATGTGTAAAAGTATAGCAAGGCATATAACAACGCATTTCCGGTGTTAGTTTAGTCAACCAGATAAGATCACCAGCTCATCCAGCTTTCGGAAGTTGTAAAGGCTGCTCTTCTACGTTTTTGAATTATTTCCAGCATAAATCGATCGTTGCACCTTGTAAACTCTCAGTTCCTTTTCGTTCTCTGAGATATAGCTTCTAGCGAACGGAACTTGTCCTACTTTGAATTCATAAAATTCTTAGAACACTTCAAATCCCAGATCAACGGATGCCGCTCACCATTCTGATCACAGCTCTTGCAAATACGTATGGCAACTTTACATAATTTTTGAAAATTTATTGGTTTGTGCTTTGCATTCAAGATCAGAATTATCGTGGTGGATTAGTAAGTTAAAGTAGTGCAAAGTTAGGCGTGCGGATCTTCGACATACTAGGTAGGTTGTCTCGAAAGTTCCCGGAATTTCATTTTTGATTTATAACTTTTTGCCATCTCTAAGGATTTGCTTCTTTTTCACTGTGTTGGAAGGAAGAAGTCTTCCTCTTTGTAAATGTTCCTCGGCAGTTTTCTACTATGCATTCACTACAGAGATAAACATGGAAAAAGAAGACCACTTGAGCTTTGACCATTTTGAGATAAGTCGCCAGAAATCTGGAACGCTGCAGAAAAATCTGAAATTGCTAGCACATAAGTTTTGTGACATAATCTCTATATCTGAGGAAAAATTGTGTTGTTTGGACGTCTCTGTGGAAAGTTATAACTTTGTAGTTTACAACAAAAAATGCCAAAATTGATTACCTAATTTGTCGCTTTTCTCGAAAATCATAACTTCGATTAGGACGTCCAAACAGCACAATTTTTTCTCATATGCAAAGAATAGGTCATAAAACTTATATACTGACAATTTTAGATTTTTCTGCGGCGTTTCAAACTTTTGGTGACCTAACCTAAAATGGTCAAAGCTCAACTGGCCTTGTTTTTTCATTTTTTATCTCTGCAACGAATGATGATTGAGGCTCTCGTGATACCTCTACAAAGACGAAGACTTCTTCTTTTTGATGAAGTTAGAAAGAGGCAAATCCCTTGAGACAGCAAAAAGTTACAAATTTTCATAAAACGACAAAACTTTCGGGACAACCTAATATATTGCAAAGAAGCGGGAATGGGCAAAGAGATTCTTAAAGTCAGATCCTAGCAACAGGTTAAAAAATGAATATTTGAGAGCTCCTTGATTAAATTATTGTAGGAAGGTTTTTTTGTTGCTTTTTTCGCAGTTATGTCATGTCTATAGCACTACATTATCGCAAACTCGTAAATTATCCTCCCAAAAAAATGTACACATTCCATGCGTCAAGTGATAGCGGCAGGTCATTGCTTCATAATGACTTTCCATCGTTAATATTTGACGATAGGCGCTGATTGCATTGCAGCTTTATGGAGCCGCTGATCAAGGTTACGCGGGTGTGCGCGCCGAATGGGCGAGACATGTGAGAAGTCATGGAACCTATCGCGGAATGTTTCTTCAGAATTGGGTCCTCATTGCTCCAGGCACCGATGATGGGAGACGTTTGTCTGTGGAGTTTATTAGTACGTTCATGATTGATTCAAATCCAAACACAATGTCATTTGAGAGCTCCTACCTAACAAAATTCTTTTCAAGAAGAAGAAGAATGAGCGTTGAAACTTTTAAACAGATTTTCTAGAAACTTCAGACAATCGCGCTAAAAAAGCAACACAATAATTCCGCTATCGAAGTATACACATCGTAAAGCATTCTTTAACTTTTGGCATTTGTTACAAAAATGCTGTAAAATTTTCCTTGCAAGATAACGGTGCTGTCAGTCTACTATTAGCTTCATGTTTTCGCCTAGAAAACATTGAATAATGTGCTAAAAAATTTTGTTTGTGCTGTTCGATCCCTTGTACATATGAAAACTAAAGAAAATTTAAAACTTTGAAATGTCCTAGTTCCTAATTTCATCAGAAAAATTGTTACTCACAATCAGTAAAAATTTACTAATTGACACTCGAATGCTGTGTATTCGCATATGCACAATCTACTACTTTGCCAACGTTCAAAATTATTGAAACATTCAGATGAAGTTGAAAACATCTATACCACCATGCAAATACGCTTTTGTCACCCGATGGTGGAATATTGCTCAGATGCAAGTCCTAAAGCTTACCGTAATGCAGTCGAGAACGCAATGGCCAGGGTAATAGCTTGTACAGAGCTTTGAAATTTGTGTGCTATCGTTATTTTTAGGCTGCCGGACAATCCATACACATGATGGTGGTGATTTTGGCCGATAGCGGCAAAATTAGATATGACTCGCTGAAGAAATGGCTTTGCACCGAGACAAACAGTAAGTTGTCGTTTCGGCCTAATCTTATAATTACTGGGTCACTAGAAAGCTTTTTGCACCCTTAGTTTCAGCAAGCGCCATTTGTATAAGTTTACCTTTCAAAAAGCTTGTCTCGAAATATTAATATCTCTTTCTGTGGATTATGAAGCTTACTAATCTTTCCACTACCGTAGATAATGGCATCGCGCAGCATCTTCGCCACATTAGGCCGTTTTAGAAAAAAAGGAGGTATTAAAGGAGGGATTTTCAGTACGACTGGAGTACTGTAAGCCCTTTCTCTACCCCCTCCCCCTCCCCCTCCCCGGAGAATGGGTTGCAAAATTTTTGAAATTTACTTACGTGGGTTATAAAAATTTTCAATGCAAGTTACTCGTTCATTTCTGTAAGTAATTAAAACAATTTTCAAAATTTTAAGTTTCAAATCAGCTTTGTAAGAAAAAAAATTTTTTTGGAGTGGGTGCTAGCTCCATGCATTCATTCACCCCCCCCCCTCTAGGATCGCCACTTGTTACCATTGTTATCAGTGTTACTAAATGTTACCAATAACACCTTCTTTCATTACAACATTCTTATCTTTAGACGATTAGAACACTCCCTATATATTGGACCATTGATCCCGCCCAGCTCCATGCCACGCGTTGTGGAAGCAATGATAAGAAATTTAAAGAAAGGAAAGAAATGGCGCTAGTTACAATTAAAAAGAAAGAAGAACAATCTTGGGCATTATAGCTTTGTTGGTCCGTTCCTAAAGCGTATCTACGATACTTTTTTTGCCGGAGTAATATATGTGAGAAAGAAATTTTGCATTAGCTAGTTTTTTTGCAAGATAATTCTGACTAATCAGAACTTCAGAGACAGAAAGCTGCGAGCAGCTAATGTAAGTAGCAGTCGCTCCGCTTAGGTTACAGCTGCTACCTGTACCTTAACAAGCTTCATAGAACTGGTTGAAACATTAGGAATTTTCTGCATGTTACAATTTTGAATACACGTTTTTAGTACCATCACAGTGCGTGCAACTGTCTACCCTACGTGGTCCGCCTAGGGATAATGGTCGCAGTAGGAATTTTGCTTCAATCGTACTGAAAATTGCATTGCAAATGAACTGCAAAATGGGTGGAGCACTTTGGAAGGTTATCATTCCTGTGAGTTGTTACCATTCTTTCATAAATGGTTTCTGGTTCCTTGAAGTTCAGAGACAGATGAAAAAAGCTATGATTGTTGGCTATGATTTGTACCACGACTCGAGCCTTGAGGGAAAAACCTTCGGCGCTTGTGTATCGACTATGGACGAGAATTACACCGAATTCTTCTCGCAAACTCGCGCACACGTAAATCCCACGGAGTTGGGAACAAATCTTCGCTCTTTTGTGAAAGGTGGCTTTTTGCACAATTATGATGGATTTCTTCACTAAAAAACTTTGGTTCTCAAATAGTTCGAAATTTTTTCAGAAGCGCTCAAGAAATATTTCCAAAGAAACCATAAAACGCTACCAGAGAAAATATTTCTGTACAGGGATGGCGTTGGAGATGGGCAAATTCCCTACGTCGTGGATCAGGAAGTGAGTTCGCACTTTGTATCGAGTAGATCAGGCTAAAAGGAACTTGATGATCGCAGAAACAGCATAATTAGAAATGTTAGCTGAAAAAAGATCTCAAGGAAGCCTCTTTTATTCCCAAATTGTCTTGAGAAAGGACGGATAAATTTTCTGGGGGGAAGGGGGGAGGGGGTGTTCATTGTTCTTGAATGAAATTAATATGCATTCAGTTCACACCTGGCTCTTTCTTATTTTTCTTGCTTAGGTAAGCCTGGTTCAACAAGCTTGTGCGGAAGCTGTACAGAAAGCGGGGTATCCGGCAGGCACTAAAATCAAACTGGCATTCATCATTGTTACGAAAAAAGTAAACCTGAGGGTTTTCAAATGGAGTCCCAACGGCAGACTTAGCAATCCCGATCCCGGTACCGTTGTGGACTCGGTCATCACAAGACCCGAACGCTACGATTTCTACCTCGTACCTCAGTATGTAAACCAGGGTACGGTTACACCGGTTTGTTATAATGTGATTTACGACGACACCGGTCTGGAACCAGATAAACACCATAAGGTAAGCAAACTCTTTATTGCTGTGGTAGGGTATGCTCTATTCTTTTTATGTTTAGCTGGCGTATAAGCTTTGCCATCTGTACTATAACTGGCAAGGGACCGTGAGAGTTCCTGCACCTTGTCAATACGCACACAAATTAGCTTTCCTGGCCGCTCAAACACTTCACCAGGAGGCTACCGAAGACTTGCGCCACAAGCTTTTCTTTCTGTAATATCTGTCTGAATTGCTAATTTGATATTTTCCATATTGTCTTTATGTTTACTAGATTAGATCTCATTTATTTGTGGTTTCATTTTGTTTTGAATCCCATTTATTTGTGGTTTTATTTTATTTCACTCCTTAGTCGTACACTAGCTGCATCAAAAAATGAGACAAAAGTTAGCCCAGCAATGGTTTTGTTGATCTGGTGAAACAATGTTGTGCCATTTTTCCAGTGTTCCATAATTTAACTTTTTTATCATCCTTTTTTTCTATGCCATTTCAGTATCACTCGCATCTTACTTAGTAATTCTTTCTTACAATTAGTGCACAATAAGCTGGTATCAGCAAGCGGATATCGCCGCTGTGAATATGCGAGTTTTTGATTAAGAGTATTTTGTTTTGCTTTTTCATGTATTTGTACTCAATGGGAACTACGAGTCTCCCACAAATTTATTATTACTTCCGAACAAAGCTTGATCATTCAGAACAACAGCTCTTCTGTCTATTTGCCAGTTGTCCATTTCACTTGATAATAGGGCTTTCTTTGTCATGCACTTTATTTACAACTCATGTATTTGTTATCATTTGATAAATTTTTCGAGCAAACAGTATGACATCAACTGTGCGTTTTTTTTTTTTGAAAAATTCCGAGCGGTTTTGCAATTTTATGACCGATACTTAGCTTGGTAACTGTTAGGGATGAGCTGAAATCTGGTTTGTCTCATTTTCGGCAATACTGCTGGAGTGCAGAGGACAGGAGACTGACTTGCAGTGTTTGTCAGATTATAATTTCATCCATTGAACAACTCTTTATTTTGCAATAGCCTTTGTACAGATTTTTGTAAACTTACATAACCTATAAATAAGGATCTGACAAGCTCTTTGAGCTTATGGATGAGAGTCAGTGTATGGATTCTTTCCGTTCGCTGCGGGTCTTGCGGGTGCGGACCTTGAACATAAGAGGTAAAAGAGCATCCCATTACTCGCCACCTCCGCGGACCAGTGGACTTTCATACATGCAGCGGCATACAATCTTAAGACTAATACTCCGAGCAGGCATCACTCTTATAATATCGCTTGTATTTTTTTCTGAGAAAACAACACACAGTCGGCCAATTCATGTGACATTACAGTAGCGGGGCCATATCTTGCTTCAGAGTGGACTAATTCTTAATTCAAGACACCGTTCGACTCAGCTCAGCGCGGCGTATCTTCTGATATGTGAAGGTGCCCGCTTGAACACAGTAGAAGGCCAGATTCCAATTGTTTCAGATTTTTGCTTACGCAGGTTATTCAGTGTGCTGGTTCATTGCGCTCAATGGGCAACCTACCGTCAGCAAAAATCGGAAACAATTCGTGGAATCTGGCCTCATATTGTGTCCAATCGGGCACTTCTATATATCACAAGGTGCACCGCGCCGAGCTGAGTCTTATGGAGCCCTTGAAATAAGAATTCTCCAAAGCGATAGGGCCACGCTACCGTGATATCACATGAATCGCGGACTGCGCGGCGTTTTTGCAAAAAAAAAAAGCGAGCGGTATTGTCGGTGGAATTAGCGGGGAAAAACACTAATACATTTGAGCTTGTCCTTCGCTTTTATATGTTTACCAGTGCGTCACCTCTGCTTCGCAGAGGCTCGCACTGGCTCTGCTATCTAGGCCCTACTCATTCTCGTATAATGATGGCATTGGAACTCACCGAGCAATGCCGACTATCACGAACAAAATGTAAACGACTACTCATTCCGAAAGCTTTTGTATGGGAAATCGGTGGTTTCGCGTAGATGAGACTTTTTGCAGGAAAACAAATGCAAATTTTTATAGGTTCTTGATTTTCTCATGGCCTTTACAGTTGCAATGAGAACAGCAGTCACCGTGAGCTACAACTTTGTGCAAAATTTTCGTCAAATGGTCTGGTAAAACCTTGGCAAATTGACCATTTACGCAACCAATACTTTTTGGCGCCGTTCTTGTAAAGTAATGGACTTTTGATCACTTTTTTGAGCCTAAGTTCATGGCTTGCACATTTACTTGGCACAAACATCCACGACTCTGAAAAAAGTGGAATTACGGATCCAGTTTTGCGGCCCAAACGCAAAGTGGATCCGTTTGACACGCAGTTTCTGAGGGATCCACTCAAGGAATCTGCTCGTTCTTTTGCATGTTGGAGTTTCATGCGGGTAGCATGCACTGTGCAAAATTTGAGCCCAGGAGGTTGGCTGGAACACGCTCTACGAATTTCGTAACAGACACACTCTCAGACACACACACACACACACAAAGTCACGTAAACATCCTTAGCCCGTTATTATAAGTAACCAGTGCGTCACCTCTGCTTCGCAGAGGCTCGCACTGGCTCTACTATCTATGTGCCTTTCTCATCCTCGTAAAATCATGGCACTGGAACTCACCGCGCTATGCCGACTACTACGAATAAAATGTAAACAACCACTCATTTAGAAAGTATTTTCACGTGAGATCGGTGATTTCGCATGGATGAAACTTTTCGCAGGAACACAAACGCAAATTTGAATAGGTTTTTGGATTTGTCATTATTTGGTAGTCGCCATGAAGGTAATTATAACCGTGAGCTACATCTCTGTCGAAAATCTTCTCAAACGCTTAGCTAGAACCTTGGCAAATTGACCATTTACACAACCAATTCGTTTTGGCGCCGCTTTCGTTATGTAGTAAACTTTCAAGCACTTTTCTAGCTAAACTCCATCGCTTGCACATTTGCTTACCAAACTCATCCACGACTCTGAAAAAGTGGTGATACGGACCGAATTTTGCGGCACAGAAGCCAGGTGGATCCGTTTGGCGCGCAATTTCTGAGGGATCCACTCAACGAATCTAATCGTGCTTTTGCATATTGGGCTTCCATGAAGGTAGCATGCGCTATGCAAAATTTGGGCTTAGAACGTTTGCTGGAGCACGCTCTACGAATTTCGTGACAGACAGACGTACACACAGACAGACAGACAAACAGACGTAAACAACCCTTAGCCCGTTATTATTAAGTCATAGATGATAGGTCTAAATAAGAAATAACATGTTAAGACAAGTGCTTCGCCTTGGTCGCCTATAAAATCCTGCAAACTCGCACTTTGCGATCATTCTTGGTGAGTAGATCTTCCCGAGATGTTGCAGCAAGCCTATAAGTCGAGTCATTATCACGAGACTTTGGAAGAACACAAAGAAGAGAATATTCGTCGACAGCAGGTGCCCGACTACTTCTGCAGAGTGAGTTTAGCACATTATTTCGTAGGAGACCGTTAGACATACAGACCATCGAAATTTGCCCAAAATCGTCTAAGAAGTTCAAAACCTTTCATCGCACAACATCTTCGGGAGTTCAGGTACCACTGTTGACTATCTCACTTTTAGTACACATGTAGATATTTTAGAAGAATAGGAGAAATCGTGAATCACGAAAGAATGAAAAAGTCAAGGTGATTTCTTTACCGTGCGTTATTATGTTAAAGGAGCCGTTGGGATAGTGCGGAAATCCGCAATCTGTACAAGATGGCCAGTAACGTTGATTCATGTAATAGAGCTATTATCATGGATACCACCGCTTCGCATAAATCTCGCAACGCGAGGGCCGCCAGGGGCCTATGGCTCCGGCCAGACTACTCAAAAGCGCCCCAAGCGGCTAAAAGCACCCAAAAGCGCCCAAACTACACGAGAAAGTGGAGAGACATTAGAGGAATTTAGGGGCTTATGGGTGCTTTTGAGCGCTTTTGGGGGCTTTTGAGCGAAGTCTGACTGGGACCTTTGAGAAGAGCTCTGAAACATAGATCTCAACCTTACTTGCCTGTGCCATTATATCACAGGCAGCAAAGCTGCATTGCGATACTATATAGGATGTCTCAATGGGAGTGTCATAACTAGCCAGGGCATTCGCAACCGCCTCGTCCAAACCTTGCGCCGCATCGCGAGTATATGCTGTGGCGTTCTCCCATGCCGCCACAGCGAATCAAGGCTGCTGAGGCGTGAGAAAATGCACGTCCCTGATGAAGAAAACGCAGACATCCTTTTTTCATTCACCAGTCGAGCGAGATCATTCTGCATTTTAAGCAAATGTTCCAGACAACTGATGTACAAGAGGATAGCCGTAGCGAATTTAAAATGGAAACGCACATGGATAAAACCTATAGTATCTTCGGCGGGAAGACAGGTATGGTCTGGTAGAAGGCTTTGCTAAATTGTGTATTTGGTATCGCTCGCGGACATTGCTCACGCAAGACGCCAAAAGGCTATGAACCACTTGAAACGAAGTCAGTCCGCATTTCTCAGATCAATCTTCAGAGCTCTTCGTAATTGACCGCTATTATCCGGAGAGAGAAAAGTTTGACGGAAGAGAGGAGACTGAGAAGGCTTTATTTGCGTTTTGGGTGAGCAATGGCCGCAAACTCAATTTCACAACTGGCAAGCTCTAGATCTTTGCTCTGACGGACTTGAGCGAAAACAGATGCCATACTATGAGCCGCCTATGGCTTTCGGCACACGTAAGAAATGGACGTAAAGCTAGGCGCCAAAATAACCGATTGCCTGCTTCAGCAGGGCGCGACGCAGTTACTGTCATTTGATGTCACGTTGTAGGGAAATCAAGTCGGCGTGCGCGATCTCGCTACAACAAAAAATTTTCACTGGTAAGGCCTCTCAAACATTCTCTCATTCTGCGAGGCTTTTTTCAAAACATTTCTTTGAAACTACTGTTGATGCGAATATCGCAAACGCCACTAGGATTTCGGTCCAATATGATGCCTACTGACATCAGCTTACTGCTTGCCGCGTCCTGCTGAAGCGGTCTCGATCGTTAGTCTGGCACCTACCAAAGCGCGATTAACGCGCAAATGCTGTTAACAACGCAGCCAGCGTAAAATACGCTAGATTTTGCTTCTACGTATTGGAGGACGCTGAATCTTCGGTCTTGCAACAGTATGAAAACCTTTGTGACCGGTGTCTGATCAGGTGCATCCAAAAACAATGGACCAGATCGAGTCAGTGCATTCGTTACAGAAAAAGCTTATGTTGAGTAGCCTAAAATACTGGATTACTACAAGTATCATTCCTTCGCAAGAAGTCTCAAAATTCTGCTCAATTGCCGGTCTGATCGTGTAGATCATAAAGATTTGATCGAACAAGGGAGCTTCCATGATGCTTGTATCGATTGCATTGTACCGTTTTACTGCTGAACAGCTGACTTTCTCGTTTCGGCAATTTTTTTGTTACCTATTGGCTTTAGCATTTACTGAGCATATCATTGAGTTTGAAATCATTTTCTTTCTTTTTTGCCCATCCTAATTTTGTAGATGATTCACCTCTCTTACTTTATTGTGATGCATCAGCTATGGTGGGTTATCTTGAGATGTATCTCATATGTATGATTTGTCGTACATAAGTGTCTATCTGGTCTAAATGTTTGCATAGAACTCTATGAACGAGCCCTTTGCTTGTATATTCAACTGCTGTCTCATCTCTTTGATTCGCCAATAACTTTAGGAACGAGAAGTAGCTAGAGCAGTCAACCTCAATGCCAGAAAAAATACTGACTTAGCAAAGGTGTTCTTTCCAATTTTTTTGCTCTTCGCAAAGAAAAATACTGCGAAATTTTAGGCAGGAATCTTCAACTACGAAACATACAATGCCATTCTGAATATGGAAAACCCAAATGCTTTACTGAGTAAGAAACAGCCTCCTTGTCTTTGGCGTTTGCTCATGATTTTTCAGCCACTGGGCAAACCTTTACCAAGAAATCAGTCCAACAAATGATCGATGAAACTTTTTGGTTGCCTTTCGTAGAAGAAATTGATGACAACATGGGTTATGAAGAACTTTCTGTTATGGTATGTTTTACATCAATTTCTTTTTCACTTTTGATGATTAGGCTAAGAGCTATGATTGATGAATAACAATATATCTGCATGGCTGCTTGAAAAATCCTGTGGTAGGAATTTTTTGGCGGTGGCTCGCATAGTCAGATGTAGGAGCAGATTTTTGCCTCTGATTGGTCAACACGTCGACGGCGATTGGTCAGGTTCTAAGCAGGGCAACAAGGACGGTAATCTGGACGATTTGTGGCGCAAACACGCTCGTTACTTTGCTAATTTTGCGAATGATTAAAATAATTATAGAAGGCTCACAAAAATCGAGTTGTTCAACAAAATCTTTGGAGGGGGCTTTGTTCTCACACTCTTTCAAACTCGGGTTATCGTTAAGTACGACGTGTTTCCAATTTTGTGACTTTTTGTAGAAGATTGTGACTTTCGCGCAGAGCTGATTTTGATGACCAAATATTTTCCTTGACGATATCATTTTTTCGCAGAGACATCCGGCGCAATTACACCATTACGAAACCTATATGTCGAAGTAATGCAAAAGAAGTCTAGAAAACTGCTACAGAGTTTTCAATAACTTTATTATGTACATTCATATAATTGCACTCTATTAAAAATAAATTAAAAGAAAAACTAGAATTTTATCACTTTCGTTTCATGAGGTCCGAGCATTGGATCATACATGATGTATCCTAAAAAAGAAAATATTACTTTGCGAATAAATCAGGATAAAACTGCTTGTTTACCTTTGAGATATCACTGAGCAAGTATTTGTGTGAAAGCTTCTCGCAGCTATCCACTTTTGTAGGGTTACACGCAATCTAAATCAATGGTGAAGGTGATTCGAATTTTCTTTTTGTGAACCAAAAATTAGCTTACTCCATCATGTGTGCATGTACATGTAATGCAGGGAGTAACATGTGTTGATTCTCCTAATGGAATATTCTTCCCATTCATTTCACAATGTTCTGTAATTAGAAAAAATATATGAAAGAAGTTGCTCAGTAAAATTTGAACTGTCTCTTTTCTCAATTTCTCAGTTCAACAAACACTGAAAGAAAGTGAGATTAGGGAAATAAGTATATTTCTTGTCATCTTTTTTGCCGGTTTATACTGTTAGGTTCGTAGGGCAAAATTGTCGTAAACTCTTATGAAGAAATGACAATTAGAAACGATTAGATGTTGGACAGGTTACTCACTTCGATCTCGCCATTGTGTAAGGTCTAGTTGTGGAATATCGGAGCATGGCAATTGAGCGTTTCTGAAACAAAATAGATAGTTTCACTATTATCAGAGCTCGGCACTTCCTGAGACAAAAAGCAAAGAGGATATCGCTTTTGCGGTTTGAAAAAACACAAGTTAGATTTTTTTTGTCGACGTTTCCGATTTGGGATCAAAGGGGACTTCATAAAATTTTGCGTAAGTCAGAGGGGACTTCGTATTTTGCATATTCGAAAAGCCACCTCGTGCCAAGCCCTGACTATTTTTCTAAGGGTAACTTTGGTAAAAACAGGCTATGAGAGTCGTCGTTAGCCAATCTGCTTTTATAGTCAAATTTAGACTTTTTATGAGGCTTTTGCTGGCATTGGCTTGAAAGATTTTCAATAGTACTTTAGGTTCTTGGTCGCCGGATAATATGACTGTTACTGCACTTCTTATTAAGAAAAGAAGTCCCATTTTGTTGCTTGACGAGAGGAGGAATGCTGAGTGGGCGTGAAGGGAGCGATCTAGTGCGTGGGAAAAACCCTTGTGGACGCGGCTCGATGGTTGACCCTACTAGCATTCGCTTCCGAACGAGTTCCCTTCACGCATAATCCGCGGTCGATAGTAAAAAAAATTTCTAACTTTCATGAGAAGCTGTGAAGCACAGCTTTGCTCAGCATTTGTACGGTCTAAGAGAATGGAAATACAGTCAAAGTCAAGCCGCTCCAATCAATTTTTTTATGTCAAAGGACTTACGTGAGGTCATCAGGCACGTCAAAGACATTAGGCTGTATAGTTCTCAAGTATCTGCTATTTGCGCAAAATATCGAAGATAACTTGACTTTTCGGATCTCGTCAAGTTGAACTGAATAATAAATATATCTGCACTTACTACAGGGAATGAGATTGATCTGCATACCTGGACTAAATTTGCCAACGCCATCGTTCTCGTAGAAGAATCGGTCGCATTTTTTCAAACGTCCAAATTGTTCGGCGAGAATGCATGACATTGTTGGTCCCAGCTAAAATTCATAGTGTACTGTGGCTCAAGCTGCTTTGGAAGATAGGAAGAGAAACGAACCAGAGCGCCTTTGAGAGGGCGCTCACTGACAAGACCAGGGAAGAGATCAATGTCATCAACATGCTCATAAACAGATTGTATAGCTTCGACGGCTTCAGCATCCATTTCGTGCTAAGAACTTGAAATTATCTTGTTTTGGATATAAGGGCGAGTATTCACTTTCAAATCGTCAAATCTCTTCGCTCTCTTGAGTCCACAATATTCCCTGAAGTCGTTGTATGGTTGCACACCATGATCACGTGCACGGAGAATGTTAAGAACTGAAGAACAGGATTTTCTATTTTTCAGTGTGTTAAAGGAGGATATAGCCTAATAGTCTGACGTGTGGTGTTCTTACGTTGCCGACAACATTTGCGCGTAAACAATGGCGATAGACTTTTTGGTCGTTTTAGATAGGGGGACATCATGCCGCTAGTGCGCACCATCCCCACGGACAGCTGGCACTGGTTTCTAATGTACAGTGATACGTAATTTGTTGCAGTCTGCGCGGACACGCTTTTCGGTGACATGTTGTCCTTCCCCTACCCGCCATTTCTACATGCAGGTTGCAAAGAAGTCGACATTTACGAGCATAGTATTTATTTCCGCGCAAATATTGTTGTTACCGCAAGGGCACAGAATTGATAAACCTAATAAACTAAACAAATTATGATGCGCTCTCACCGATAAGATCCATTCCACTTTTTTCTTCTCCTCTTCGCATAAATAAGTGATTTCTCAAAGCAGTTGTGATATGACGATCGAAAGCCATTGATGGCGTTCCTAACAATCCCATGAGCACGGAATCCATGCCTAAACTTATTCTCTTCACACTTGTCTCAAATTCTGCATCGAGGACTAACCGCCTGATTCTTTGTCGTAAATTGGGCCCACATGTCCGAAATGTTGAACGAGATCAACTGGTTCGCTCATATTCCTGCAAATTGAGACTTCAAGGTGAAAAAGCAAAAATGCCTAGCAAATATGCTTACTTGTAATTGTAATTCATCCTGGGGAACATGCGTCGTACGAGTGTGTGACCAAAACGGAAAGCTGCAGTCGCAAAAGGTTGCGATATGGCCGCGTCACATGTGTCATCGTACCCTGTAGACGGAAATTTTTTTATCAACTTGACTATAGTTTGTTCCTATCGCAGTGTCCCTGTGTTCCGCAGCACGACGGCCTCGCGTGCCGGTATTCGATCGATAAGGCCAATGAGCCTGCTCCGCTAGGCATTCGCGAGGCGGAGATCCCAATCTAACGGGACAGTTGAAGCAAATTGTGTTTTAAAGTCTTACCTGTATAATAGCCAGTTTTCTTTGGAACCAGTCCTTGCGCATTCAGTAGATCCAAGCCGATGATTTTAGGCAGAAATTCGGAGAAAGTGATGTGCTGGAGCTCTCCCACTACTATTCTGCGGGCTTCCTAAAAATTCGTTCAAATTCGCTACTCGGCTGCGTTTAGAGTTGTCCGTGCCAGCGTTGTGCCGATAAGTTGAACAATCGATACACTGGATCCGGCACGACGCTGACACGGTGTTGGCAAAGACATACGAGCAGCTGCTGCCCTAGCTAGCATGAACCCACTTGATATAAGATCTCATCAGTCCATTGAGGATTCAGCGTTGCTAGAGCTGTGGCTATGCGATTGTGTTCACGCATCCACATAGTGTGCATCACTGTCAAACCTGGTTGATGGGAGTTTCTGGAAAAAATGGGCGTTTTTCGCGGCGGGATCATCTCAACTATAAGCTACCTTTCGTCTCCAGCTACGAAACATGGCATTTTTGGTGACGATCGACAGTCCTTTTCCTGATCACCTTGTGGCAACATCATTTGACCATGACCTGAATACTTGTTTAGAGGAAATCCCTTTCAGAAAGAAGTATTAACACTAACCGAAATCAGTGAAGTTCAGCAACCCTCTTGTGCCAAGGCGAAGCTGTTTTGATTCGCACTCTGTTGATCCATAAATGACAGAGCCGTCGATGTAAGCTGTTAGCTGAAGAAATTTGAACCTTGGCAAAAGTAGAGCAATAATGCAAGAACGCAGCTGGTGTCTACTTGTTACTACAAAGGTTGTACCTGATTTAGCTGATTTCTATAGCCTAGATTCAATTGTCCTAAAAGTGATCTTGCAAATCCCAAACAAAATGGTTCTCCGTTTGGATAAGTAGAAGGGAAGAATGGATCATTTGGCTCAATCCGGATGGGCATGCAGTGGACAGAGATAGTTTCTGGTGAATCGCATCTAAAGTAGGTTTCTATAGCCTACTGGTCTGCTATTTAAGCAGATGAAAGGCTCAAAGCCTCCGCCAACCTAAATCGTGATGTGAGATTTTACAGTACAATAACGAGACCCTTAACTAATGATTATCCAAGTCCTGCTGCAAAAGATGCATTCTGAAGCAAGAAATTTGCTCCAAAAGTGATGAGCTCGCCACGCCCCCAGCGTGGGGGGTGCCTGTAGGTAAGGTGGGCGGAAATAGGCTCAACATTACCTAGAAAGTCGCGAATGCCCATTGCTGTAAAAAAACTATCTTCTTGTTATGAAGTCCAGTTTCGGCCCATTATTCAGAACACCCACGTTGGTGGCCGTGGCAACCCCTGCAACGCCCATTTTCTAAAGATTTCTCGCTTGGAATACACCTTCTGCAGTGGGACTTGAGTAGCTACTTACAAGGGAAGTTCACTTAGTCGAAGTGGAGAATCGGAAGGAGATCTATACCAGTGGATAGGGCTCAAGAATCTGATCTCAGATATGCCTTCTACATCTGCGATGCGTTGTTCTGAAAAAAGTTATGGGCTTTTCTAAAGCCAAATTTTCGTGCATATTGAGTCGCAAAATCATGATAATCGCTACACAAAAATCAAGCTCAAGCAAACCACTTAGTAAGCATTGTAGGTCTAATTCGGCTTCATCCGATCGTTTTCGAATGTTTTCCGACCATGTTGTTTATTCACAAGCCTCATTTCCTTCCTATATCACACTTCCGTCAATATACACAAAAACCCATAACCTCCATCTGGAAGAACGCTTCGCAGATATTGAAGATATATTTGAGAACATCGTTTTACGATCTATCCACTGGTAGTTTCCAAAAAGTTTCCGACGCGACGCGTTTTTCTAGATGTGGGTTATGGGGCTTTTTTGTATACATTATGGAAGTGCGCTCTAGGAATGAAATGAAGACCTGTGGATGAACAATATGGTCGAAAAACACCCGAAAGCGTTCGGATAAACTCGAAATAAACCTAAAATGCTTACTAGGTGGTTTGCTTAAGCTTGCACACTCTTGTTTAGCGATTATCATGATTCGCGACTCAAAATGCACGAAAATTTGGCTTTAAAAAAGCTCAACTTTTTTTTCAGAGCGACGTATCGCAGATATAGAAGGTATATCTAAGATTAGCTTCTTGAGCTCTATCCACTGGTATAGATCTCTTTACGAATCGCCACTTCGTAGTGAACTTCCCTTGTTAGCTAGGAGCCTCGGTATCGTGCTGCTTCACAATATCACCAATCTTAGACCTAAGCGGACTTTTTTAACTCTCGAATTGTACCTGGTGCAGTTCAGAATCTCATCGTTTGGTCCTCTAGCAGTAGGAGAATGAGTAAGCTCGTGATCAAGCAATTGTCCGAATTGCATTACCATATGGGTGAACTTCACATGAGATATGTCACGATCTTCACAAACGGCGTTTGATATCTGAAAGTCACGGGAAAAGTAGTAGATAAGAATTTGAAGGAGAGGGATCTGCACAAACCTTTCGAGCATTTGGCAATAATCTGCCACTTTTCGCCTTGCTACGAGGTGCATCAAAACCATCATCGTAGACTGGTGGCATTAAATGCCGCAAAGGTGAAAATGCATTGGCATAGCTGGGATATTTCAAATTGTTGCACCAACCAGAATGTGTCCGATATCTACAAATTTATCTGTATAATCCAATGATAATAGCAGTCAAGTAGATTTCACATTCAATATAGTGTGCTTGACTGCCGCAATTGGGCGCTCAAATTCGCGCGACAACAATAACCATGCCAGTAATGCCGGTAATCTCCGCGCGCAGGTGGTCAGCATTACGACCGCAGCTATTTGTTCACGCGCAAATTTGGTCGCCCAATCTTGGCATCGCGAGCATACTGTAAGCGAATTTTCTACTATTCTGTACTGTTAACCAGCTTACTTGGTCGTGTGATCACAAGGTAACATCTTTGGCAAACATTCATCGAGCGTTGATTGTCCATCGTCAGAAAGAAAAGCGGTGAAATTGTTAACGAATGTAGAAACATCGATGTCTGGCAATACCCGTTGTAAAACATCCATTTCAAGAGGTGGCAATCTTTCTTCTTCTGACAAGGTTTCTCTACAATTGAAAGATTACGTTTGGTCGTTTTTAAAATGTATGTTTTTTATAGAAGGTCTTTGTCCCCCTCGATCTCGCGGGCGCTGTTTTACCCTAACGAGCGCCATCACCCGATCAGGAGCTCGTAAAACAGCGCCCGATCAGAGATGGGAGATCGGGAGATTGGTAAAGACCTCTCCTTTCTGAGTTCTCTTACCCCTTGACGAGCAATTTTGTGGTCTCCAGTAAAATAGCAGAAACTTGTGCGATTTGCTTTGCTTGCACCTTAGCACGCATCATATTCGAATATTGGTAAAGGGGATCGCCTTTTACCACTGTGTGTTGATCTGCAAAAAATCTAATTGATTGCCTAATTTTTTGATTTGGGCGACTAACTCACTTTTTTGTAGATTTGATACCTCGCGCTTCCGTTGGTCCTTTAAATTGTGGACAGCAAGACTGACCACCTAAATTCAATATTAAGCCTTAAATTTGAGAGTTTGTTCTTACTGACTTTCTCGAGAGTTTCGGTAGAAACGGGGAATGTGGGTTTGCCCTCGAGATCCCTCCATTCCACAAATGATGGTGCAGTGAAGACTGACGATTGACAGTCGATCACCATGTTCCTAGAGAATCGAATATACGATGTTTAGCGATTTTCAGGGTGCCAGTACTTACTCAAAAATATTGTCGTGCATGAATGGATTGCTTTGAATTCTTCTAATGTCCGTATTTGAACAAATGATTTCTGCTAGACTCGTCTGTCTAAGCTGCATAAGCTGCTTTTCGCTAAAACCAGATTGAGCGAAGTAGTTCTCATACCAGAAACGGTCGCCTCGCCGAGTCTGAAAATGCTTTCATTTAACGGAGCTAGTGCTTGTATGCGAAGCATTTGCTTGGAACTAGTTGAAGTGGAGTAGAGGACATTTGTCGCCGAAAAGGAAGGTCCTGCGCGGACATCTGCAACAAATGCGCACCACGCATGAGGTGCTTGTTGCAGATATCCTCGTGGCCAGCTCTTTCGGCAACAGATAGTCTTGCATCGGTGAAGATAAGCCGGGTAAAGGAACAAATAACGCCGTCAGGAGGCACCGGCTTCGCGGACTACTGGTCCTCAGATGGTGTGCAAAATCACTTTTAGGACCAGTGATCCGCTGAGGTGTACGCTCGCAGGTCGCCCATCGCCCACCCGCAGCAATTCTTCAAGAACTTACCCTTTGGAATTGTTTTCCGACGATGCATGAGAATGTTGGTCCGAAAAGCGATCCTTTCAGTGGTTGTTCTGCCAGTACTCCGACTAGTAGATCTATGTCGTCGACATTTTCGTAGATAGTGTTGATGTATTCAAACTTCAAGTCTTGTATGAAGTATTCCTTCAGTTCGTGGAAGGACCGCACCTACAAAAATGACATCGCTGACATAATATGCCTCATTTTCGATTGCTTGCGCCATCCACAGATCTGAGGTTGACATTTCGATGCAGGACAATGACAAGCCCTCTAACCAAGTAGCTGCCCAAGTCCGGCTGCAAAAGGTGTATTTCAAAGCAAGAAAATTGCTTCAGAAAGTGATATTCACTGGGGTCGCCACGCCCACCAACGTGGGTGGCAGTGAGACAGAAACTGGGCCGTCAGGCCCTTAGAATTGTCAGAAACCCGTCCTCATTGCGAAAACAAATTTTTGACAGCCTTGAGAACTCTGAAGTCCAGTTTGGACTCATCTCGTTCGGATTACCCACGTTGATGGGCGTGACTA